ATAATACCAAAAACATGAAACAATACATAACATCCTCCCAGTAACAAAATTCTTCCTTATCAGAACAACTCTCAACGACGAGTTCAACGGTTCTCGTATGTAGTGTTTGTCATCAGGGCTTCAAGCGCGATCCGCTGTCAAGGCCAGAGGGTGTTTCTGAGGGCTCCTGGACACCGACTGCCCTGCGATGATCCTTGTGGAGTATCATGGGCAGTGACACACGCTCCCTTGGCAGAGCTAATTGGCGGACGCAACGGTCAAGACGTCTACAGGTGAATGGGGCTCTCCACAGTCGAGAATCTCGACTGATAACTCGAGATCATGATAATGATAATGATTACTGATAATCGTTGTCAGTGACTTATTCAACCGTGTAGGTCTTTCAAAGTTTCGGTGAGAGGTGTACAAAGTTTTCCCACGGATGATGGTCACCATGGAATGTTCGGCATCGGATTCTCTACACGAGACGACTTTCATGAGATACCCGGAAAGAAAAGTAGGGGTCCAATCACAACGCTGTGCCTTGTCACTCGTTCATAATGATATGTACGTTTCACATGGTCATTTTTCAGATATTTGTCTCTTTGGATACAACTTCAGCAGTTCCAGTAGAAATAAGGTGAACACTAGTCAACGACGCACGTTGTACACAACCTTCTACGACGGTCGGCAGTGGAGGAAACTGGAGGAGTCGGTACTGCCAGAAGTTGGCGATGAAGTAGAGCGATTACATAAATTTCATGATTTCTTGATCTACTACCACTCCTTCTCCAATTCTCTTCTCTCAGTGGGCCCCCTCCGACGATCCTAATAAGGTGTATTCTGCGAATAGCATACCTCCATCTGTCGTTGAGAAGGCTAAGGAGAGCGATGCCTGGCTGCCAGTTCGAGATCCCAACTCTGGTGGCGTGTAAGGAGCGTATTTTTTTCTAAGGCAAATTCAAAAAATATGTGTTTCTCGTTGACGAATAAGAGTTTTCAGCCGAAGGATATAGTTACTAGCGTGATACACCACATGTTGAGTCGAAACGGTCATGTTCGGAACGGTTACTGATATACAGTGTTGGGAAATATATACATGGTCAACTACATGTGTTGGTGACAATATGAAAATTCTGAGGAAACTATTTACTTCTACCCGAATTTGTAAGTAAACTCCCGTAATTAGTGAGGAAACTCCTGAGCTCAGCTGAGGAAAGCGAACAGATATTCTAACACTGCTGATATATTATGGCGAGCGAAGTAATGACCCCCGCGAACCGTGCAGATTCCTTAGGCAACACAACTTGATCTCGTTAGGAGTTGTCTTACTACAAGAATACAATACCACCTAGGTCCCGGGTTCAAATCTTAGTAGAGGCTTTTTTACAGTTACTGGTGGCATCCTAGATCCAACGCTACTACTCCCATCGGTAGTGGTAAACCAGAAACTCTTATGAGGGCGTTAGGTTAGTTATAATAAAACAGCATTATCATCGATTGTGTTATTTTCTAGGTAACAGTGCTATGTTCGGCGCTGGTGCCGCGATGTTCTTCGCGTTGCTCTACAGAGTCTTCGGCATGTGAACAGTTCGATTCGAAATACTAGTTGCTTACGATTTTCCTTTTTTTGGTTGTCTCTTGTTGTTGTGATGAGGGGGAAATTTTTAGAAAATTTTTTATTAGATGTGCGCCGATAATTGAGTCTCCGGTTACTCTGAGGGCCCTGGCAAACGGGTGATCTCGAGGAGTGATCACGTGATTACTAGGGGACCATGGACCCTTCTGAGAAGATTGCACAACTACGACATCTTAGCTTAACTCGATGCTACTTGATGATCTTATGAGGACGATTGTAGATAGAGTCTCTAGATTCCATTAACCATTGCCTTGAGTTCCCAAATGGTTAACATCGTGGAGAACCCGTTGAAAACTCCCTCAAGTCCCGTTGGTCTACAAATGGTTAACATAGTCCCCACAGAACGATTATTCTCCAAGGGCAGCAGGAAAGCTGATCCTCGCTTCCTTTATCTTCATGTTTGAAACTTAACAAAGTATTTTATACGGCATTTCCAGGTCAAATTAATTTTGTTGGTATTTCATTTTTGATCATTTTTGGATAAGATGTTAACGAAAAGAATGAAAAATTAAATTTGATGGTAAAAAATTAATTCTATCTGGAAATGCTGTAGACTCAACTTGAGGATATTGAGGTCGTTGATGCTATCTGAGAGACCTTCTAGATCGCCATAGTAGGAGTATTGTTGCTGTCGGAGGCCTCGGGTGAATTGGAGGATGCGTTAAAGCAGAGAGCTCCTCTATGAGGGAGAGTCATGCAAAGCTCCCCCTATTCTGCTTTAGTTTGCATATATCGTCATTGCTGTGTTAGTCCACTCTGTTCATTCTAGCGTTCATCAATAGTCACTGGTCATCATTTTTCAGCTTCGCTCCGCCTTTTTTTTCTCAACTTGGTTAACAACCTCAGCGATGGACCACTCCTCAGCGGTTCTCGATGCATATGTCACCCTCACGTATTCCCATCATCTTGTAAAATTTTCGCTATCATAATTTCAGGTCTGAAGATGTTCATCGTATAACGGCTCTGGCGAAGTCGCTAGTGGCAACAGAATTTCCAACTGGTGGCAGTTCGGAAAAAGTCGAAATTCCTGTACACCCACAAAGTGAGTTAAAAAAATTTTTTTTAGAAAATAAATTTTTCAGATTTTCTGCGCTACTTGCGAGAAATGGAATCGTTGGGAACTGCAGCGCGGGGCTCTCTGGAGCAGGCGGAGACGTGTTACGAACAACTTACTAGGGAGATCAAAGAGTAGCGTTGGAGAAATATTCGTTTCCAAGCTGAAAATTTCAGCTCAAAAACTTTCAAAAGTGTACGAAAATGTTATTGTAATTTTCTGAATCTCATCTACACGTGTATGATTTGGATTCATTTTAGATTGTCGAGATCAAAGCCTTGGAGAAAGGACGAGTACATTACCGAAACCAGAGCGAAAAAACTGACATATTTACTCAATAAAGTTGCTGATGCTCGGAAGGGCTTCGAAACGTGAGAGGATCACTAACGCATCGAATGAGTGTGTTGTTGGTTTTAGTTGTGTTGAAAAACAGAAGGCGAAAGCGGAGAAGGCGTCGAGGGCGCGCGAAGACGTCGCGCAGAGTTTGCAGAAAACTGACCAGTTGATTGATCTCATTGATGCTAAACTCAACAGTGCCATTCGGCAACCTGCCGAACTCACGCCTGGAAACTCCCAGTACGACGTTTTTCATAATCGATCATCTGGGCGAGCGCGATGTGTTTTCAGGGGTGGTTTTGGTGATGGGCCGACAGCAGTAGTGATGGCTGGTCGTAGACAAACGAAGTAAGTTGTTTATCGTCCGCTGAGTGTAAGTAGGTTTTCCTTATAGACGGCGGCGATCATCGAGTTCAGCGTATAATACCATTAGCAAACGTAGCAGAGGACGGTAACTACTCTTAGTGTTGTTATGTTGAGTTGAGTAAAGAAATACGAGAATGGGATTTTCTCACGCATGATTATACCGATATGCGAATAACTCTGATGACAACCAAACATGTTTTTTCTCTGAATGAAATCTTTTACTGTTAGTGTTATTAACACAATATAACGATGATGAATATAAGACTATTATCAACTTAGCATTATAATAGCAACTCAATGCTTGCCCCCATGATACTTGATATCGTATTTTGGGCAGGGTTCCACGACTTGACCTACAAAGAGTAAAAATAAACAATTTAGGAAAAAAGGTCGTTACCATCTAGACGAGTGGTCATGCATTTCTCAACTGATTCGCAAAGCTCCTCAACTTTGGCAGTTTCAGAAGCCGCAGTAAACCATAACTCGATACGAACACATCCTTGATGGCTTGGGCCACCACGTTTGGAAAATCTGCCGAAAAAATTTTACCATGCAAGAAAAAAGAGCGATTTCTTTTCTCACAACTTGTCGCACAGACGGAGGCCGGTGACCATCCCGTTGGGCGCGAGAGAACCACCGACTACTGCGAGGACGAGGTTATTCCAATACCTGAGTGTTGATGACGATACGAATTTTTGCGGAAATTTCGGGCAATTTTCGTTGGTTTCTGTACACAGTTATACGAACCTATATGTATTATTAGTGAGGAAAACGCCTGAGCTCAGCTGGGAAAAGCGAACAAAAATTTCTCCAATACTGGGAGAAATAGAGAATCATCGCAGTCGAAAAACATCAAAAATTGAAGTGAACTTACTCGTCAATTTGTTTACCACCAATATGCGGGGACAAAGAGAATTGGAGATGCCCACCAACGGCATTGAGTGGGTTCTCCCACTCCGGTGTTACACCATCACGGAAAATCATCATACCTGTGAAGGAATTAACAACAACAAGAATTACAAGAAGAAGGAGAAGAAGAAGAAGAAGAAGAAGAAGAAGAAAAACAACAACAACAACAACAACAACAACAACAACAACAAGAGGAAGAAGAACAACAACAAAAACAACAAGAAGAAAGAGAAGAAGAACAACAACAACAACAACAACGACAACAACAACAACAACAACATATACAACAACAAGAGGAAGAACAACAACAACAAGAACAACAAGAAGAACAACAACAACAAGCGACTTACTTTCAACTACTCTGAGGCCACCACCGGGACCCTCTCGAACGAATCGGCATCCTCCGGGTTCGGAGAAAAGCTCACTAGGCTGAGGGACGTGCCTCCAATAACGCCAGAATTCACCAACTGTCTCAAACGCGCATATCTGAAATGTTATTATGCACACGGTTTAATACGCATGTCGATGACAATGAGGAAATTATGGTGTTTTTTGGTACACTTTTACGGTAACTCAGTGAGTATATATTCCAACACTGTTCGCCAATGTTGGAGGGATATATGTTCGCCCTCAAAAGTTTCCTTACTAGTTATAGGAGCTCACATATCAATTAGAGTAGAAGTACATACAAAACCAACGACAATTTGCCAAAATTTCCTCCCAGAATTTTAATTTTTTTAAAAAAATTTTCCCCCACACTGGCAACCTACCGAGCGCGAGAGGTCCTTCCAGTCGGAAGGGCTCGTCTTCTGATTCGCTTGGAGTTGCTCCCACAGCACCCATTTTTGTCTGAGGGGGTGTGCATGCGTGCATACCATACCTTTTGAAACTTACTCGAGCATTTGGTCTTGTATCCCATGGTCGGAGGCGACCTCCAGCAACTTGCTTGTGAATTCCTCATCGACTAGAGAGAAGAAAGGCACGCTGGAAGGTTCCTCAGAAGATATCGAAGAAGAATCCGTCGTAGTAGCCATTGCTGAGTAGGATAAGGGCACGGCCTATAACTAAAAGATCCCGGGTTCGATCCCCCCATATGTCATATTTAACACATGCCCAGAGACTTCGAATGCAACACTGAATCGGTGTAGGAAAATATGCACATGCTCAACTACATGAAAACTCTGAGGAAATTCTCATTAGTTTCTGTACACCTCTACCCTAATTCACATATAAACCTCTAAGGAAACTCCTGAGCTCGGCTGTGGGAAGCAAACACTGCAAGGCAAACAGCGCGATCTCATTCTTGGCTTCGTAACGCCAGTGAGCATCATCAATGCAAAACCTTCCGAACACACTGTTGAAGGGGACGTAGAATATCAAGTCGCACTCTACCGAAATAGTGATTCTTCCGAAAGGCGTTGAAAGTAAGATGACTAGTTGGAAAATATGATCGCACATATTGGAAACACCGAACGTAGTAGTTTCTGGAGACCATACCAACACATGTGCATGCGTGCAACATTCAGCGATTAACAATCACTGCGGGGAAGACGTTTTTCGAGAGTAGACGGTCTATGAGTACGTCAACGTCGACACTAGCTGAGGATAGAGGAACCCCTTTCCCGGTTGATTCCGTGAATGCTGATTGTACGATTTCAGGGGTGATCATCGCGAATGCCGGATTCGTCGAAAGTATCGCCACAGTGTTGCCATAAGAAAGCAGTTGTTCCTTATTAGCCACTCGCGTAAAGCACGCTCTCAGGAAATCAACTCTCTCCTTGTACTCATCCAGGTGCTGTAGTCTCAAACCCAAAACCAACGAGGACGTCACCGCTCTAGCAGTCATAGGAGCATCCACAGGAGATTGGAAAAGATAGCGATAGTCGATCTGAACCTCAGGGCCGCCTGAGAAGGAGAATCTTATCGCACTAGGAATATTCGCGTTGCTCTCACCAGCAGGAACATACTGCTGTAGTTCTTGCCAGCGACTTCTGTTTTTCCACGGCATTATTTCTTGCATGCCGAAAAACAAATCCTGTTTAGTGATGACGCTATTCAATTCAGATGAATTATTTGCCTAAAATTTTTTTGATAAACCTGAACTCATTTCGGGACTAACCATTCGAGCTGAAACTCTCCGGTCGAACGCCTGATGCGTGTCCAGGGGCAAGTTGAAATCGTCCAACAGTACCCACACCGTGATCTGAAACGGTGGTAGACGCTTGCACGACTACCTAGTGTTAGAAAACATGCATATGTTTGGTGACAATATGAAAATTCTGGGAGGAATTTTTCTCAGGAATTTCCATTCTACCCGACTTCGCACGTAAACTTCTGAGCTCAAGTGAGGAAATGATATATTCCGCCAATACTGCGCTGTAAGGCTACCTCTCGCCGAATTAGCATCGCCATAGCTAACATGAGTGGCGAAGTGGCAGTGCCACCAGTGGCTTCACGACGAACTACTATCATCACAGACAGGACCATGCTCCACAGGGAATACTAAACATCGCATATGTTCACCAATAGACACTTTCTGCGATTACTTGTAAAACATCCCAAATTTTTTCAACAGTTGAAGTAGCAGAATTCTCGTCACCAGATGCTCGTAGGCATTCCACAACGGCAAGATGCCAACGTTTTACCAAATCGCTGGAACCTTCTCGGGGAATTCCTCCTCACAAAATGAGGGTAGATGCACAGTACCAGCGTAAATAGATGAGGGCTTCGAAATGGCGTCCAAAATGGCAGCAATAAATGTAGTAGATTCATATTCTTTAGTAGAATATATTTTCACTATCTCAAATAGGAGCTCCCACACGTTTGCTGCTGACAAGGCCATATTACAGCAGCCAAACGCCGGTCGGTTAATCGCAAATTCACTAGCGACAATTCCCTACGGGGAAAAATCTCAAAAAAAGTTTTCCGTTTCGGGAAAATACATACAATCTCTTCTTGTGCGAGAGTCAAAGTTCCGTTTTCCGCGAGCTCCCCGATTAGCGTAGCAACAGCGGCGTTTAGGTTGGTCGGAGACAAAGCCTGTGAAGACATCACACGAGCGCTGTCTCCACGACGACGACTACGCCTGCCCAGGGCTCCAGCTCTCTAATGATATCTTCGAACGGTCCGACGCCTTGAAAATCGGCTCTAGGTTCAGCCTAGTTCCAAAATCAACCATCGAATGGTACGTGATAGTCTACCAGAATTTTCTTGTATTCAGCAAGAATTTTGCACCGCCCTAACGCTTCGTTTCCGCCATACCTACGCGGTGAATATCTTCATAACTCTTGAGCGCTCAACTCACACGAGCATGTCTCCAAGTGCTTCCGCGTGTCGTCGTTGGAGCTCAGCAAGAACCAGTCCCCCTAATGCCACACTCGCAGTGCGAGTGACGGTAGACAACAAATTATGAATAACGCTGTAAGTGGCGCTATCTATTTCATCATCATCATCTTCATAATCTTGGCGAACATCGCCCCCCTCAAATTGCCAGTTCGCAGCGCCGCACCCGTCCGTCCACACTGGGCGTGGCGTTAATGGTCGGAAAATCTGATGATTTTATCAACGACTTATCGGAAAATGGTAACGCACCATTTCTTCAGCAGGAGCAGTTTCTGAGAGTTCACCTCTCCCTGTGATCGCTCCGTATGAACGTGATAGATTCTTATACTCCGTTGAAAGGCTTTCATACCTTACCACGGAAGTCTGGTGTCGAGGCAAGCGTAGCAGATTTGGTATATGGTTTACGCGCTGGTCGAGAGACAATGGAGTTTCACCACCCTAGTGATATGAAAAAACACTAGTGAAAAATGTATTTCACGACTACTGCATATCACCGCGAATAACGCGTTCTCCACCGAGTTTTACGCCACTTCACGTAAAACGGGTCGTGAAACTCCAATATGAACTTGAGATGATCTATTATAAAACCAAAATCATCTTGGAGTTTCATTCGTGATATGAAAAACACTGGTGGGAAATATATTTCACGACTACTGCATAACGCGAATAAAATCGCGAAAAATTTTTTTCACAAAGTATCACGCCATTTCACGTAAAACGGGGCGTGAAACTCTATTGATATGATAAGATGATAATTATAATGATATAACTGTGCTGCGACAGTGCTGATGATGCTCGCAAGATTTTCAAAATCTTTTTTTCCACATCGGCTTTCACCGACCACACC